AAGCTAGACTATCAGTCAAAATGCACGTTGTGCATTTTTTGAGTGAAGTTAAGTATTTGATCCCCTAAAACTCAGCCAGAATTCTGGATCCCACCGATTGGCTGGTGCCCATGTGGCACATCGAGGTTCCAAATTAACCATTTGCCAGTACTCCTAATCTCAACTTGTCATGTGTTTAATTTTTTTCAAAAGATGCCAGAAACAGCATTGCATACGTGCACGAGGCTAGAATAGATTCTAAAACCATCGGCAAAATGCTTGGTGAAAAGGTAACCACTTGGAGCCATTACTTGAAAGTGCATGACGTACAAAATGGCCATCAATTGCCCCCCCCCATCCCCCCCCGGCCTGAAGCTCAATGCGAGATCTTGCCTTGTGGCGTGAACATGATCATGAGCGAGGTAAGGGAGCAGCCTTTAAGAAATCACAATTAGAGAATTATTCGATGCAACTATTCATTTATGTGATGTAAATATTTGGAGTTGTTTTTTATTTAACTGCTTTACAATACGGCTGCCTGAGGCTTATATAACAATGACATGAATTAATTCTTGTTTTAAATGTATTTAAAAACAAAAGTTGTTTTCTCCAACATAAATCCTCATTTTAAACTGTTAATTAGCACAGATGCTTCTGCTGCCATGTGCCTTTATTCTGCACAACAAAAGCTATTCAAAGAATACAGCGTTAACTTTGAAACAATTTGATACATTTTATTCAGACAATCTGTACTGATGAGTAATAATTAGGAGCAATGTTTCATGTGGTTTTCCTCTGAACGATACAAAATTACACAACTGTCATGCAAAATTAATCATAATGGAGACACTTGAAACAACAAATGAATGTTTCCCTCTGTATAATTTTGTCACATCCGTTGGCAGTTTTACAACTACCATATGAGAACACAGCTTCAATCTTTCGATTTTCGGTGATGGCAGCGATAAAATTCCAGTTATTCTCTGCCTTACTGAATAGGGTACATTTGGCAAGAGCTGAAAACACGAATCATTCAATGGTAACGATATATACATTTCAAACCATGTTGACATTAACTGCTGCGGTCACAGATGCTGAAATCCACCTTGAGCAGTCTGGAAGTCTGACGGGGGCAGACGAAAGTCCATCTCCTTGTTGCATTTAATATCCCCATGGGAGCACCTGAGCTCATCTATTTCATGTTCCCCAATTGGTGGTTAGAAGCCTTCTGGAGTTGTTTAAGATGAGAAGCCTTACCGCCTCCATTTGTTTTGCTGTCGGTAATCGATGGCGGAGTGTTACTGCTAATGTGATTTATGGGTGCCATTTTCACAGTTATGCTTCATGTACAAATTGTCTTTGGTGATGTCAATTCTCCATTCTTCCTCATTCCTTTTCAGAAGTTGCTGACACTGCATTTCTGGCTGCTGAACACCAAGAAGGAATTTGAGACATGATCAAAATAGAACTTCATTTCTTGCTTTGCATTGGTCTCTCATGTGAATATATAAAGGTAAAAAAAAAAGTATGTCGTGAGTCCAAGGATAAAACCTGTATCCACCACTTCTCACTCTCTCAGCAACAACACAGATAAGTCCTACCTGCTACATGATTAGTGTGTTTGGGGAGAATGACAATACAATAGCCACATGCGGGTTGTAAATCCTATCATTTTCAAAGCTAAAGTGGGCAGTAGAAGCCCCATCTTCATGACAAATTGGATTATTCAAATTCAATGTTTAACATCTCTCAACATCCATCCGTCCATTATCTGAACCGCTTTATCCTCACCAAGGTGGCAGGTGTGCTGGAGCCTATCCCAGCTGATTGTGGGTAATTGTCGGGGTGCACCCTGAACTGGTTGCCAGCCAATCGTAAGGCACACAGAAAAACAGCCATTTACACTCACCACACTTACAGAAAATTTTGTGTTCAATTAACCGACCATGCAATGCTTTTGGAAAGTGGGAGAAAACTGAGTTTGAATCCCGGCTGCGGTTATTTCTTCTGCCGGTAACGAAATTGTTGGTTCAAATTAAACATGTATTGGTTATATGCCTGTCATGTTTTTGTTGTGTCAAAAAATCAACCAATCGAGTCTAACTGGCGGCCTTCCTGTTCATATGTCGACACGCCATTCCTCCTCTACCCCAAAAAAAAACATGATTGAAAAAGTTGATGAAACATTTGAAGACTATTTCGATTTCAGTTTCACTACAAAACAGAAACAACATTATAAACACCCACCATCACTTAGGGGTACATTAACTTCTTTCTCAATGATGTTACAAATATAGTGTACACCAAGATTTTCACGGGACATTAAATTGTAATGTTCTGTTTAGTTCATGCCCATTACTTGAGTTAATGCAAAAATAAAATAAAATCTTGAGAACAATTGGGATAAAATATGCTATATGAACAGAACAAAGGAGGACTGACCTCTAATTAAAAGGAAAGTTCCCATCAAATAATCTAAAGACGAAACCACATTTCAGATGAGCTAAACCTTACTATGTAAACTTGACTTGCCAACCACATTTTGAAAAAGGAGTTTGCTATTGCTTTCAGAAACCATGCTCAAATATTTGCAGAAAGGCAACTACCACATTTAAGGGCCAGGGAATTCAATTGAAGACATTTATGATAACCGGAAAACCAGCAGGGGGAAGACACAGCATTGCCGCTGCACGGAGGGCTTACATTGCGTACTCTGTCTTTTGTGGCTGCTTTATGTTGTAGGCAACGTGGCTTCTATTTTATCATCTATTTATTTTGGTGTTTGTTTGCTGAGCTCCACACAGATGATGTAGTGTTCCTGTCCATTAACCAAGGACAGTAAAAGGCAGCTGGCTGGGTTTGAGAGGGCACGATTGGAACAGGCGCAACTCCTAAAGTTTATTTGTCTGACAACGGCCATCTCGTTATATAGAATTGTACATCAAACATGTACTAAAATAGGTTTGTGAAGACTCTCACTTGACCACACCTGGTCCATTCAGAAGGTTGACTCAACAACTTTGTGATTTATAATATTCCAGACACAGAGACGGAGCAAAAAAAAAGTGTCAGTCACAAATCCCTCAACCTTCGGAAGGGCAATATAAGTAGGGCTGGGTGATTTTAATGATTGAGAGGCGTGATATGACGTGACCAGCTGCGAGCATATTTACTCCATCAGACGTGGCAGGAATGTGCGCCACAGCCGCCAATCCAGTTTTTCCTTCTAAACTGCAAGTGGGTTACAAGTTGAAGTAAACAGAATCGGTCAATTAATAAAAGAAGAAAGAGTAAACAGGAAGTACTAGTAACAATGACTGAATGTGCACAGCAGATAGGCAGCCATGACTTGGCCTAATCTCCCAAAGATGCAACTACTTTGACAAAATAAGTTCCTCCACATCACTTGTGTGGCGGTACCTCCAGAGCAATGTGGAAGAAGCTGGTGCGCAAACTATATAGTCAAAAACAAAACAATATAACAAACCTGTTGAATCACTTGAACAAGTAGCACCGAAGTGACTAAGTGTAAAGCATGAAAATGTGAGTTTGCGCAGCCTGCCCTCATTAACATTTGTGGTTTAGCCGCGAATAAATCTCAGGCAGCAATCAATCGTGCCATCTTTTGATCATGTACATTTGCAAGTAGAAATGATGCTGGCGCCGTATGTAGGATCATAACTTTAAACTTCTGCTTTCATTTTCAGGCGTGTTCATTATTCCAGAGGCGTCCATTTTTAGTAGCTCACTCTTTTATGTTGTTCTACATTTGTGGTACTGTTCAATACAAACGTTGAAATTAAAGGAAAAAAATGTATGTTAATACAATGTTGAATTACTCTATTTGCTGTCAGTGCCAATGCTTTAAAACCGGCAATTTAAAAGCAATGTAAAGTCGATTTCTTCTTTGTTTGCGTTCATGTCTTCATGACTGTATTCTATACATCCTCTCCAGTGCGTGTAGGCTATGCAATAACAATTCTCAACGAAGCCTGCCACAAATCGACGAGTCACCAATGGCCGTTGCAACTATTCGACTAATCAGATCATATGTAAATTGCAGCATATTCCATCAGGAAGTAGCTGCTCTAAAATAATCATCAATACTTTATAGCCTAAATTCTTTAAAGTGAAAAATAAATAGAATTAAGATGATATAAATTAAACTTCGCCGATTGTATAATCATTCCTGGTACATTTTTTTTTAATGGAGAAGATAGTGAAATCATGAGGAAAATGAGGAAAAAGCACCATGCTGAGGAGCAGAAAAATAAACACTTGTACTGTTTTATTATTTCACTTCATTCATCCCAATCATTTTGCTTTGCTTCACTAGTATGTCTAATTTAAAAGCATTAAATTGATCAACAAGAGTAAAAGTGAAATTGAAAAAAAACCTCTAGAAGGATTGTTTTCTGTTTTAAATTGCTGTTACATTATACAGTACATTGCATGAACTGGATTATGGATATTTAATCGATCTGTTGCCATGGGGTGTAGGGGTTGTGACAAACATGTCATGTGCTGTTACTTGGAGTACTTCGACATCCGAGCTCATGAATGCCACACACACATTGTTTATGCGAGAGCGAGTGAGAGGGAGAGAACAAGCGTACTGTTACTCTGCCATACATTAGCTGTGCTTTGTTGTAAAAAAAGTTTACTGTCTAACCTCGTAAGATGTTACAATGTATTGTTTTCAAAATATCGCTTACAGTGTAGCCAGGCATTAAGCCTCACTGTAAGATAAAAACACCCATTAGCTAACTACATTTCACAGAAGTTGTCACACTTTGCAGATCATTTGAAAACATTAGACTACAGCAACCACAAATATATTCTAGCCCGGAATGGTCAAGTTAAACTCACTCTTCTTTTTTTTGGGGGGAGCGG